GGTGGTAGTTCACCTAAAGAATTCAAAGAAATGATCCACTAGACCAAGTAATCATGAAGGTTAATATTCTCGAAACAAATATTGCCTTGATTAGTAGGCAACTAAATACAATTATTCAAAATCTATCTGGAACAGTAGCTCATCTCACAAATGAGGTGAATATTTTAACAAGTAAAGTAGATTTCTTAGAATAAAAATTAAAAGGTCCATTATCTATACAAAAGACAAATAGTTAATGTTTTAACCCAAACATCAAAAATCCAATTCCAACCTCATAGCCCATCTAGATATGGCTCAATAACTCCTTTTACAAAAATAGTCAAAAAAGCCTAAGAAGCTCAAGTCCAAATATAAATAAGAACACCTCAAAATAGTCCTTCTACTTCTACCTCTTCTAGGAGAAGAAGTTCAAGTCTAGTAACCTCACCTTCCTTTAAAATTATAAACCAGCATAATTTCCTTAAACTTCTTATCAATAAAACCAATCATTTTCTCCTTCCAAGAACTAACAATATCAAATATCTTTCTTATTATTCCTTCAACAAAGTTATTGTATATCCAAGAACAAACCCAAAACTTGTAAAGACTCTCTTTAATTATAGCCTTATACACTCTTTATATCCATCTAATGATATGTCAAAAATATCCAAACTCCCAACTCCAGTCCAAGAAGCTACCAAATATTATTTTGAAATTGTAATATAATATCGAGTTTACATTCGGTGTTACTCAATAATAGTGGAAATAACTCCAGATAAATTTTATCTTCCAATTAATCTGATTAAATTTGGCACAATAAGAAGACCTTTTGAGTATAAAGAAGAAGAAGAAGAGGGCATTATTAATAATGAAGACTCCAGCATAAAATCTCAATAATCAAAGCTCAAGAATTCAACATTATTTATCGAGAACTAAACAGGACAATAATTGCTGATAAAGCCCAGTGGACATATTTCATGGGGCCTACTACTTGTATCTACTCAGTAGGAAAAAATAGCAGAAACTCAAGGAACTTTAGCCAATGGTATGAAAGAATAAAAAATAATCAAATGGAAAATATGAAGGGAATAAAAAGAAAATATGTTAAGTACTCTCAGAATATGTAAATCATAAGTGCAAATATTGTGAAGAAAGAAGACAATTTAAGAAAGACTATAAAGACCCTTCTGCCAATATGAATATTCTAGATTAACCCTACCGACATGTAAAGACAATGAAAAGATAGTAGAAAAGTAGCTAACAAGACAAAAGTAGCTAGCCTATTATGAAGACAAAAGAAGATGGCAGACAAAGTGGAAGACAAAAAGAAAAATAGTCCAAAGTAATTTTGTCTTTTGTAATTATTACTTTATCTTTTGTAATTAAGTTAAAAGTAGGTTTGTCTCTTGTAATCATTAGGGTTAGTTTTTATCTTCAATTAAAAAATTTTGTAATTAAGTGAAAAGATTTTATAAGCTTTCTTACTTTATTCATAAAACTTTTATTTTTTAATTCTTCAGGTTTTAGATTTAATTTTATATCTCTTATTTTTTTCATATCTTTTTTGATTAAAAGTCATTCTTTTTTGAACCATTCCTTCTTCTGTACTTATAACTTCTTCATAATCTTCATATTCATTTTGATTATTACTCTCGGGTTCATCTTCTATTCTATTTATCATATATATATAACAATTTTCATCTGTTTCAATATTTTCTGTTTTAGTTTCACTCATTATTTTTAATTTATAAATTTCTATATCATATTTTTCTAATTCATTTTCTATTTCAAATAATTCTTCATCATATCCTATGAGTTTTAAATCTTCTTTATAAGCTTGTTCTAATATTTTTATAATTGTCTTATTTTTTTGGACAATTTAGTGATATATGTCCTAATTCTCCACAATTATAATATTTACATTTTTTAGATCTTTTATTATAATTTATTCTTTTTTTCTTTTCTTTTAAAAAATTTTCTTGGTTTATAATTCCAAGTCTTTTATTGTAATATGAGATTCAGAATTCTCTGATCTCTTCTTCTCATTATATCTACTTTATTTAAGACATTTATTGGTCCTTTTTTTTATATCATCTATTATTTCTTCTACCAATGATGTTAATTTATACGTTTTATAATAATCATCTTTTATTATTTCTGATATTAAAGGTGGTAATTTTCTATAAAATATATCTAAATAAAATATTTCTTCTTTTAAGTCTCCTAATATTGCTTCATAATACTAATTTTTGTATTCACAAATAAAGGCATTTAAATATAGGAAAATCAATATAAGGTCCGATGGAAGCATTTAAAATACGCTGAGGTCTCATGAATTCAAGAAATAGCTGCCAGGTCCCTAGGGAACTAAGAGTGAATAAGTTTGAAAATGAAATTACCAGTTTGCCCATTATTTGAAATACTCAAAAATTACTTTATTTCCCACTAACCCATGAAAGCACGAACCCAGGGCGAACAGTTTCTCTGTTCCTCATTCTCACGTCTTCCACAGTTAATCATCAATCACCGTTCTCATTGTTACATTTCATTCGTCTTGTGTGTCCTGCTTTGTTAGTCAATAGCTTAACTGTGATAGTGATTCCCACTAACCCACTAAAAGCTCAAACCCTCGGTAGACGAGATCTCTACTCGCCTCTCCCAAAGTTCATTGACGACCACCCTTCTCTGAGTCACATTGCCTCCATTTAGCCTTTGAGTTTGAGTATTCAACTAGTTTTGGCCCCTAAGGTAACCCACTGAAAGCTCAACCCCATGGCAGACAGGATCTCTGTTTGCCTTTCTCGCCTCTCCCAATGTTCATTGACGACCACCCTTCTCTAAGTCACATTGCCTCCATTTGGCCTTTGAGTTTGAGTATTCAACTAGTTTCGGCCCTAAGGTAAATTTTTATTAGCTAAACCCTATCTTTGATATGTCATTTGTATGGATTTGGGACTTTTGTCTGTTGGAAATCTGATTGCCTCCATAATGTATATTTGATTTGAAAACATCACCATGATCAACAATGCTTTGAAATCATCTAAATTAATTCTTGTAATGAGCCGTAGGAATAGAAAAGGTATTTAAGCTCAATAATCCAACACTACATAATGATGAGAAGAAGATAGGTTAGACGAGGAATACTAGATTTAATACAACAAAATGAGGGTCTAAACTCTAAGAATGAAGTCCTGTATGCCACATCCTAAGTGTAAGATTTCATTTTATCATACACACTTTGCCTAGCTAGCTTCTATCTATATGTTGTTCTTTGTTATGTTTGGCAATCACGTGAGGCTAGTGCAGTATATTTGCTGAAACCAAATACATGGCCTTGACAGATCATAGAAGCTGTCAAAGAATCAAAAGTTTTGAACTGTCAAAACTATAATTTTGTACTTTATAGATTTTGAGCTCTCAAATCCATGGTTTCTATCAAAACTATAATTTTAGCTTTCATAAATGTTTTTTCCAAGTATGTCCTAAACATTAGCTCTATATTTTATAAATGTTGAGCTTTCAGATATATTCAAAAAAGCTTTTTTCTTATTCACAGATGACATGCAAATTTCAAAGTGTATAACTAACTCATTGAACTCCCAAAATGATGCTTTATTGGATAATTAACTCATTGAACCCCCAGATCATGGTTTTCCTTATCAAGATGTTGGTGTGTTGATGGCAGAATTCTCAACTGTGCTTAAAAATCTATAATTTTAAATATGTATGAATTTCTCTATTGACGACAGCTTCTTTCTTTATTGACCACAACCGTATGCTCTATTGACAAAAACTATTTATTCCATGAATGACAACTAATTACTCCAATGACTATAACCATAAACTCCATTGACAACAACAATATGCTCTATTGACTAGTGAACCATTTTCTTTTATGACTTGTGTTTTATTCCATGGATACAACTAATTACTCCAATGACTATAACTATAAACTCCATTGACAATAATAGTATGCTCTATTGACTAGTGAACCATTTTCCTCTATGACTTGTGTTTTATTCCATAGATGACAACTAATTACTCCAATGACTACAATCATAAACTCCATTGACAACAACAGTATGCTCTATTGACTAGTGAATTATTTTCCTCTGTGACTTGTGTTTTCTTCTTCCTTATGGATATTAATAAACAATGTCAGTGTAGAAATCTCTGAGTTGGAACTTAGTATTAATGGCTGGTATGCAAAAATCTCTTTTCAACATATCTAATTGAAATTTTCTATTTTTTTCAGATAAAGGAAAATGGAAGAGAAAACAAAAACAATAGTAAAGTGATATACCGCACCATTTCATATGCGTTGCTTTCCAAGCCAATTTAGTGAAGTGGCAAAGTATATTAAGAAAAATGAGAAATTACAAAAGAGGGTTGAGAAGTTAGGATTCCATATACTTCTTGATGTTTCTTGTAAAAAAATTCAAAGAGATATTTGTGGAGAGTTGATGCGTGCCTTTGACACCCCAACTCATGAAATATGCATAAGGGGGAAAATCAAGAAAATAAAGGCCAAGGATGTGAATGACTTGATGGGCTTAAGTAGTAATGGTAAGTAGATTACTGGGGACGTCAATGTGAATGAAAGAGGTTTCAAAAATTTGAGAAATACTTACTATAAAATGCCTTATAAGAAAATAGCTGAAATGATTATATCTAGAAAGAAGGCAACTAAATTTGAGTTACTTTTTGCAATGTATGCATTGGGAACCTTACTATTGCCGACTGTAAGTCTTGAGGTTAGCGACCGTATATTGAAGGTCATTTATGAGACACAAAAGAAACCAAGCGCATATGATTGGGCTACGTTCATTTTTAATGAACTTTGCAAGGAGGTAGCAGACTACAAGAAATAGTTGAGCAAAGGAAAAGGAAGGACAAGGAAGAATGTTGGGGGATGTATCTACTTTCTAATGGTAAGTGTGTGTTTAATTTACATTAATCCAAAATGGTAGCCTTTCAAAGTTTTTCATGTAAAATTTTTATGTTTATAATGATTTGTCAAGGTTTTAGGTATGGGCTTCCAAAATTTTCCAATTGGCAAAGGTTGTCCAAAAGCCATAGATGCTCTGAAATATTGGGACGATGATAAAGTGAATGCAAGAGTAAAGTTTGAGAAAAAGAGCAACTGAGGCATCTTGCATGAGCCAACTACTGTAAATGGTAGTTCATCTACCAAAGTATATCAAGAATCGGCATTTGTTCACCGATATGTATAAAATGGAGTACAATAGACAAATATATATGGTCTTGTTTATGCATTCAGTCAAAAATTGTCTTGCAGGAAGTAAAGAGGCTATACGAAAAAGCATTGTTGTTTGTCTCTAACATTGGAGAGGAACTAATGAGCTTGCAATTAATGCTACTTGGACAAGGGTCAAGGGAGGATGAAGGTGAAAAATCACAAGAGGAGGAAGATGATGATGAAGGGATAGATTCTGAGAGAAAGAATGAAGATGACAAAACAGAAGAGGAAGGAGATAAAGAACTTATTGATGAGGGGACAACTTTTGAGGGAAAAAATGAAGATGACAAATTTGAAGAGGAAGAACATAACGAAGAAGGAGCTAAACGAAAAGGTTTTAAGGAGGGAAATGGAGATGAAAAATTAAAAAAGGAAGAGAATGAAGAAGAAAAATTAGAAGGGGAAGAAGATAAAGAAAAGGATAATGAACAGCAAGGTTCTCCTAAAGAAAAGGGCGACAATGACAATTCAGAAGAGGAAGAGGATAAGGAGGAAGTTGTAGGAGGGAAAGATTCTGATGAGGATGAGGGAGGGAAAGGAGAAGAACAATCAAGTAAACATCTTAGAAGATCAAAAAGAGATAAAAGACCTGCTGTGAAATCTCCATGGGTCAGAACTAATGTTAGAAAGAAGAGAAAAATGGATGACAAGGAGCGATTATTTGAAATATGCACAACACCATGTGAGGAAGATGAGGGAGACAAGTACGTCTTTATACTGTGCCTAAAAATTGACTGACTAAAATATTATTGACAATCTATTCATTTTTTCTTTTTTCTTCAATAGGATCATTATAGATTTGTATGGCTACTACTTGACTCATGTAGAGCTACAATGTTTTGGTGGAAAAAGATGGATTAGTGACAGGGTGATGTCAATGGTTGCCCAAACTTTGGCAGGTGACTAAAAGGAAAATGAAGGGAAAGTCTGGAGACACATTTTTAGTTTTGAGTTCATGCTAAAAATGATCAGCAACCCTTTGAAATGGACAGTTGATGACAACAAGGGAGAAATCTTTCCTGAGTTTGTTAGATATAACATTGCTGATTATGAATTCATTTTTAGCCCAACTCTTTTCCATAGTCACTGGTTTTACTTTGTCTTCGAGATAAAGACCATGAACTTCTATGTAAGATTCATTGGTCAGTAATAAGGAGTATTTTCAAAGACAGCAATAAGAGGAAGAAGAAGAGAATGTTGAGAAGAAGGGCAAGGAAAAGGAGGAGGAGAAGAAGAAGAAGAAGAAAAAGAAGAAAGGACAATTAGATCCCAAAGAAATGATGGCAAGAGGATGCGTATGTCCCTACTTGTCATTGAATATTACTAACATCTATATTTGTCATTGTCTTATTGCCTAGTTGTAAATCAACATTGCTAACATTGCAAGTCTTGACTTTACAGAGGAATTGCTTTTACTCTCTACTTTGTGCAATTGAGCCACAATTGTTTGAGGATGACGTTAGCACAGACATTATATGGGCTAAAGTTCATGTGCAAATTGATACGTAAGTTTCCTTTATGTTTATATATTATTAAGCTTATATTTACATGTGAAAAATGAATTTTACATTATGTTTTTTTATTTGTTTTTAACCATACTTGTGGGGTGCATGTCATGACATGGTTACAATCGTGGGACAATATTGCGAATAAGAATGGATATATGATGCCAAAATACTCCCACGTATGCATTCTTCACTTTACATTTTTACTTTTTCATATACTACATATTTGTTGTTGTCCCTTATAAGACTTATTTGTGGTGCAGGATGATCTCTATAAGAAGAAGGTCAAACTCTTGTGGTAGTTACTGAGTCATCATAACAACGTGAAGGAGCCTGAAGCTATGTCCTTATTAGAAGGATCCTAAACAACGAGGAAGAGGAAATAGAAGATTTTTTATAGAACTTTAGGACGTAATTTTATTGATAATCATATAATTTTGTATAGTTAGCCCATTTTGTATAGTTAACTTATACAATGATGTTTATGAATGCTAATTACAAGTTTGTAAATATGACTAACAATTATTTTATTAATTAAATGTCAACAAATGATTATCACTTTATTGACAAGTGTGTATAAGTATATTGATAAGGTAATAATTCACCATTAACAAGTGTCAAGGTGCTAGGTGCTGTCATTCAATTCAAAAATCAGCCAGTTAAAGGAACACATTGACTACTTGACATTGACGATTGACAAGTAGTAATAACTATATTGACAAGATACTAATTTGCCATTGACAAGTGCTAAGTTAGTAAGTGCTATCGTTCCCTTTAGAAATCAGCCAGTTAAAAGAACCTGTTGACTACTTGGTGCTGGCGATTAACAAGTAGTTATAATTATGTTGACACGCTACTTATTCTCCATTGACAAGTTCTGATGCGCTTGGTGCTGTTGTTCCCTTGAACAATCAACCAGGTACAAGAAGCTGTTGACTACATGGCGTTAGCGATTGACAAGTGGTTATACATGCTAGTTATTCTCCATTAACAAGTTCTGATGCACTTGGTATTGCTATTCCCTTGAACAATCAACCAGGTGCAAGAACCTGTTGACTACTTACCATTGCCTATTGACAAGTGGATATAACTATATTGACAAGGTAATAATTCTCCATTGATAAGTGCTGACGCACTTAGAGCTGTTAATCCCTTCAAAAATCAATTAGGTGCAAGAACCTGTTGACTACTTGCCATTAGTCATTGACTACAAGGTACCACTTTATTTATAATTTATGCATTTGTTATTGACAAGTGCTAACAGATAAGGTGTGATAAACCAAAAAGTAAACAAAAAACAAATTCTAGATATATAAACAAAAAAATACACTTGTTCGTAATATTTTCTAGCATAGATTAGGATTCTTGCAAGTCTTGGAGGTATGACTAATCTCATGGCATCTTCCATAATGATAAACCTTTTTATTTTGGAATTGAGATTCCCTTCTTTTACTCTTTGGCCTACCTAGAGGCCTTCTTGTCATTGGTGGCTCCAAGAAGGTTTAGGTTAATAAATTTATCACCATCAATGCTTCTAGACGCAGACAGTCATGTGTGCCTACCGGCTTCATGTTGTTGGCATATATCTTTTCTTGAGCAGTAAACTTGTAACATTCATTTATAAAATTGTACACATTGCCATGAATTAGCTTGAATGCTACACAAGCATGTGCACAAGGTATTCCACTGATTTGTCATGCTAAACAAGAGCATGTATGTGCTGAAAGATCAACATTCAAACGTATTAGTCCACTAAGTGATATAGTTTGCACAGAGATCAAATTTTTTCCATAAGTTTATGCATGTAAATTTTTAGCTCTAACAACTTGCTCCATAACTTTTATATCAACATTAGGCTCGACACCGTGTTTCCAATTTCCTATAGCCGCTTTACTAGCAACCATCTTCTTTGCCAATTTCTCTCTATGCTTATGTATCAAGACATCAATATTGTGTTTTCTCTCTTTCACAATCCAAGCATTAAAGGATTCTGCAAGATTAGTTGTGATGTTATCCCATCATTTATATCCAAACTTGTATTGAGCCCATCAACCTACATCCCCTTGGGTTCCAACCCATTGTGCCAACTGTGGACAAAACATTCTTAGATTCCCTATTGCAATATTAAATTTAACCTCATGCCTTGCATAGGCAATTGCATCAAGCAATTTTAACGCATTATCTTTCATGTTTCTTGAGGTATGCCTCTTACCTTTATTGATTTTCTTAAATGTTGTGCGAAAATTTTTCTTCACATGATGGTAACAAAATGCATATCTCTCACCACCACCAAATATAGCTTGCACGACACCAATAATCACATTATTCTGATCAGAAACAATTATTAACTCCACTGATCTTGTTATGTCTTTGACATTTTAAAGAAACCAAGACCAATCTTCTAATGTTTCCCCACTAATAATGGCATATGCTACCGGAAATAAGTCATTATCAGCGTCATTTGTACATGCTGACAGCATTGTTCCCTTATATGGACTGCTTAAATGACATCCATCTATATAAAGCATGGCTTGGCAACCTCCTAAAAAACTGGATATAGAGCATCCATAAGCAATGAATAGCCTCTCAAATCTATTATTTGAGGCATTCCATTTCGCAACTATCATCGAATCAGTTTCTATTAATCGATCACAAATCCAAGGGATTATGCTATAAGAATCTTCTGCACGACCATGTATTTCCCACAATGCTTTTTCTTTTCCCCTATAGGCTTGACTGTAGCTTAATCGCACACCATACTCTCTATACAAGTCTCTTGCAAGTTTATTGGCACCTTTGTCTATATTAGACCTTAAAGCATCAACCATGATTTATGATGTTAATTTTAACCTTGTCAAGTGTGACACAATAAGGTTTCTTGCGCATTCTAGGTGTGATCATTGTTGAATTTTATAACCCTTAAAATTTCATTATCTTTCCCTATTAAATATGCTGCAATGTTCCATTCACAGCCCTCCACCTTACAATATGCAATGATCTTATCTTTGTTATTCTTCTTAAACTTGTATTAAAACTTATGGGAGATGCTATACTTGTATAATGCTTGTCTAAAGGCATCAACATTAGGAAAAAACTACCCTTTACCTACTAACAAATCCTTCTATTTCATAGAATTCATTTCAGGTATTGGTGTAGGTACCATTTGTACAGCGAATGCCAATTTCGTGTCTTCAATCTCAGGATAAATACTTAGAGGAAAGAAAGAGCACCCATCTGATACTCTCAATAAATTATCAATCCTACATTCAATGACAACATTAGAATTGTACTTTTCAACATTATTTACGTTAACAAAAAAATTTACACAACTCACACATATTGGTTCTCTAATGGGCAATCTGTTGATGCTTCTATGGTGTCAATCCCATTTGCAACTATATACACATGTCCACTTTGTTTGTTATACTTGATCAGATGTTCTACTCCCTCATTATCAACTAGATCTACAAGTGTGCTTGCATCAACATTGACTATTAATTTTAATTGGATTATATTGCTTTCATTCCCTATAATTGATGATATCATTCTTGTCAACTCTTCATATGTTGTCCCTTCTTTTATTGTTCTTGTTCTAACACTCCCTCCAACATATTGCATACTTCCTTGGTCATCATTTTGAAAATGCCCCCTATATGGAAAAAAAACATAATATATGTTATCTAGAAGAACTTGCAATCTTACAGGTTAATCTGCACCACACACAATGTATTGACAACTAGAAAAGGTGTATTAACAACACATTTATCTACTATTGACAAGACACAATGTTGTTTAATAGTAGAGATTTTTCAACAAAATAAGCTTACCTCATATACTTAGGAATAATATATAAAATGTCCTATATGAAAAAACATAATATAATACATGTTTTCCAGTAGTGCTTACATTCTTATTGGTTAGTCTGCACAGTACAGTGTATTGACAACTATTCATACTATATTGACAACACAACAAAACATTATTGACAACATATTGAGATATCCATATCAGATATTTATCAACGGATCAGTGTTGCGCCAGATTATTCCATATATTAGTTATGCAAACTGAATGATCACAAGTTTACCCAGAAAGCATTATCCTACGCTTAAACAATAATGAAATCATTAACGCATAAGAAATTGTTTACCTAGCTAATAATAGATATGCTACTGTTAATCGGTAATTTACATAATCATTTACCTAGAAAATTTATTTTCTGTCGATGAAAAGCTACTGTTGCAGAAGAAACACTCCCAACTCACTTAGATGAAGACAAGGGCTGTAATCATGGATATGAGGATGTGAAGATGATGCCACCATGATCAACAATCATGGATATGCAGCAACCTTCACTTTTGTTAATCATGAGTTTCGTGAGACGCATGCGCGCAAACAAAATCTTCTTTTCAATGCTAAAGGGCAAATGGGTAATTTCATTTTTAGATTTATTCACTCTTAGATCCCTAAGGACCTGGCAGCTATTTCTTGAATTCATAGGACCTCAATGTATTTTAAGTGTTTTCATGGGACCTTAAACTGATTTTCCCTTTAAATATCTTAGTTCTAATGAACATATTTATATTTCATGTAATTTTTTTATAGCATCTTTTTGTTTACTTATTTCATATATATCCTCACTTATTCCTACAAATTTATTTCTAATTGATTTTGCATAATTTGATACAATAATAGAATAAAGTTCTTTTCTATTATTCTAAGATCTATATGGTTTTCTTAGTTTTTTTCTTAATTCTTGAGGTTTATTCATCCACTAATTTTTTATTCATCTACCAATTTTTATATTTCCCAAAAATGTTGTTTCTATTAACATAGGTGCCTTATATCAATATTTTTTTCTATTAAAGATATTAAAGTTACTTTTGCCCATTCTTCTATTACTCTTTCATTATTTAGATCACAATTTAAGTTTAACCATATTCCTAAATTTGGTATTTGTCTATTTGCATATTGTGCTAATGGTATTGATATAAATTCATTATTTTTAGGTATATTAAAAGTTGCTTCAAAAGATATATTATTACAACTATATGTTTTGTTAAATTCAATTTGATAATTTTATTCTTTTTCATATGGTTCCATCATTCTTTCATCTTGTCTTTCTTTTGATATTCTACTAGACCCTACATTTATATTATTATAAGCATGACTTTCTAGATTTGGGGGGTTAATGTTTTGAGGCATTATATTCCATAAAGTTGTTCATAGATTACTAATTGAGAATTTTGCATATTATTATAATTATTATTTATCAAGTGTTCATATTCTTTTTTTAATTCCTTAAGTTTTTCTTTTTCTTCAATTTCCATTAATTCTCCTAATCGTAGTGATTCGTTTTGTTCTAATTCACTTTCTTCTTCTTCAATGCTTATATTATTTTAGCCATATTTATATCGTTGATTATATATATCTGTGTGTGTGTGTGTGTGTGTGTGTGTGTATGGATATGTATATGATATATAGAATACATTGATTATTATTATCTTCTATTACCCATAATATTATATTCATAACATTTCTTTTATTTATTCTAACATAGCAAATGTTTTATTTCCATTATTTGTTATTTCCAAATTATTGTCTGCTATACTTATTTGAATTGTACTTTTTGCAATTTCTGAGTCTACTAAAGTCATAATTTCATTTCATATAGATTCTTATTTTACTTTTATCAATATATAATTATTATTTTCTTTTGGTGTTTTAGGTAATAATGTTCTTAAGTTTGAAGTTATAGGTCTTTTACTTTGTGATCTAGATAATTGCTTAGGGATTCCTCTACTAATACAAGGTCTCTGTTTTAAACTTCTTCTTATAGGTTAATTTATATTTATGTCTAAAGTTGATGTACTTATTCTTAAAGATCTTTATCATATATTATCATTGGTTATTAATCTTTGAGAATTATTATTTTTAGAATATTTTATTGTTCTATCCAATTCTAATTGTAGTTGTTTGGGTATCGTTATTTTTGTCGGATCTAATTCAATTTCTTGTAATATAGGTATAAAGTGTTTATCTATTGTTAGTTTTCCTTTGTTTTTTTTGTAAATTTTATGTTCATTTATAAATACTAATCCAATTATAACCGTAATACTTATTATTCTTGATCCTAATAATAATTTATTCCTCCTAATTAATGATATATTAGTAAGGTTTTATTCATATTTTCTTCTGCTATAGATATACAAAAATTAATATTTGTTATAAATTTTATTTTTTGATATATCAAATTACTTGTTAATATTTCTAAAATACTATTCTCTACACTACTTATTATTCTTCTATCAATTATTAATAATTCTATAATGTATTTCTTCCTCTTGAAAATAAGCTTTTACTTAAAGCTGTACTTTAACAATATATATTTTTTTCTTCATCCTTAAATGGTAATTTATTAATTTCATTATCTATTAAAGCTTTTCTTATTAAATGTATTCTTAATACTCCTTTCGTTAAAATTGATTCTATAAGGTGTTTCTCTTCTAAAATTACACGAGCATATTTTTTTTTTTTAATTTTATAAGCTTTCCTACTTTATTCATAAAACTTTTATTTTATAAGGATTTTAGAATTTATATATATTTGGATATGTATATGATATATAAAATTAAATATATAAAATATGATATATATATATATATATATATTTGTGTGTGTGTGTGTGTGTGTGTGTGTTCATGTATATTCATTATTTTCATTATTGTAAGCATCACTTTCTAGATTTAGGTGTATAAAGTTTGGATCTAATCCATAAGGTTGTATTTGTGAATTTTGCATATTTATAAAAGCTTCACCATAATTATTTTTATTAAGTTTTCATATTCTTTCTTTAGTTTTTTTAATTTTTCTTTTTCTTTAATTTCCATTAACTCCTATAATTTTTGTAAATCCTTTTCTTCTATTTAACTTATATTTTCTTCATCTAAGGTTTTTGTCATATTTATATTCATTTTTGGTTGAATTTTCTTTTTCTTTTTCTTTTTTGTTGGTATATAATTATAATTGCCCAACATTATTTCTACAGCTCTATAACTTTGTTCAAAGTCTATCTCTTCTTCTAATTCATTTCTTATTTCTATCCTTTTATTTTTTGCATAGTTAGTTTCATTTTTCTTATCATAAATTTCTAATTCTAATTTTTTAATTTGTTCATATATAGTCCATATATTTTTATTTATTATTTCTTGTCCTTTCTTTTTTCTGTTTCTATCCTTGTTTGTTTTATGTTTTCATTCATATCTTAATTTCTTATTTTTTCTTCAGATATATTTTCTTCAACTATTCTTATTATATTTATTTGTGACCATTCTTCTTCTAATATAGTTTTGGGATTTATTCCTAAGGCATCTACAATCCTATAAGTATTATACTTTATTAAACTTTGTTCAGTCCTTAATTATTTTGTATCATATTTATTTCTCTTAATTGTTGATAACAATCCTTTTTATTTCATATATTTTTTTGTTCTAAAGGTTTAACATATTCTTTAATTCTTATTAATTTTTCTTTAAGATTTTATTTTTTTAATATTATTTATAATTCTTCTGGTAACATACTTATTATTTCTTTTTCACTAAATAAATGTTCTAAATCATTGATATTTTCATTTATATAACATCCTAATTGTTTCATTAAATATATATTAGTCCAATTTACTTGATTAAAAGTACTATCTCCATCTCCTCCTAGTATAAAAGGTACAAAAATACATAATGGTTCTTTTACTGGTAAACAAGAATTTTCTAGGAGTTTATTATATTCTACTTCATACATTTTTGGTTCAATTATTTTTATTATATTCATT